TGTGTGAATGCTCCTAAGCCTGTGATATCATTCTCGAGAGACATGAATGATAGATGAAAGGAAGAGAGAGATGATAAATAGTTAGATTAGATAGATAATGTATATACACAAGTGTAGAAAGATCACTGGGGAAAATAATGACATTGAAGGAGTCTGTCTCCCTTAAGCCTCTCTGCCTATATGCACTCTCATCCATAAAAACCCATCGCATCAAGGTCAAGTATCATGGTCCATCTTTCATCCGACTCTACTTAAGGTCTTCATGGACCCTGAGGTGCAAATGAGGAGTGATTGGTTAAACTGGATTTGTTCCCAGTCAAGAATTTACTTCTCATGGTTATAGGACTGAGAACACCTGTTTCTTACTGGGTGTGGGATAAAACCACCCTGGGACACTACGGATGCCTCACTATCAAGTGGGCACTTTAAAAATGGCCAATTACTTCACCAAACTAACAGAGCAAGTCTGACAGGAGATGGGGAGGGAGTCTGATTGGAGATGGAGTCAACATAGTCATGACAATGACATCCTATCATCTTTGCTGTATTGTGCTGGCGAGAATCAAGTCACAGTCCTCATAATCACATACAGTGGGAGTACAAAACCCCAAAGCCAGAGGCCATGGAACCACTTTATGTTTGTCTACCATACCGAGATGCCATGGCTTAGAAGAGATATGTAAGTCCTGTCTGCTAACACCCAACACCAACACATTCCCTAAAAGACCATGCAGAGTAGCAAAGATCTTTCAACTTAACCAGCGCCTTACGTAGTTACCATTGACTTCTCAATAGTAAAATAGTAAAACTATTTTACTTCAAAATAGTAAAACTATTTTGAACTCTTGCTGGCGACTGAAGGGAGGTATAGTGGTGGAAGTCCAGCACGCAGGAGACTGAAGCAGGACAATCACTGCAAGTTAGAGGACAACCTGGGCTCCATATGAGTTGAAAGCTAGCCTGAACTATGTGTTCCAATAAAAAGTTGTTGTGTCTGGTGAAAGCACACTGGAGCTTCCATCTCAGCAAATGTCAAGTTTATGATACACTGCTGTAAACCTTAGAAGCATTGCTGTGCCTTATACCTCCAGAACTCACGCACTTACAGCAACTAAAATGTGCTAGAACTTGACCAACATCCTGTAATTTTTTTTGCCTCATCCCAACACAGATAACTGCCACTCTGTTCTCTACTTCTATGATTTTGGTTACTCTAGGTTTCATACATGTGTGAGCTCATGCTCTCTTTTTGTGTGTGGGATCGCAATTATCATGATGTCCTCCAGGCCTGTCCATGTTTTTGCAAGCAACATGATGTCATTTTAAAGGATGAATGACATTCTATTGTGTGTATATATGTGTATATATATATATATGTGTGTGTGTGTGAGTGTGTATGTGCATAATCTTTTCTTCATGCATTCATTTATTGATATTCTTCAATTATTTCCAACTCTGCCTACTGTGAATAATGTTGGAATGAGTACAAGAGGGAAGATACCATTTGGGAATGCTGATTTTATTGCTCCTGAATATACACTACATTGATTGAAATATGTTTTGTCCTCACTAAGACTCCCAATTTGAAAGATATTGAGAACTTTAAGAGTTGACCCAATATATTGCTCAGCATCATGCTTCTGGGACAAATAACTGACACAAGGAACTTGAGGAGAGGACTGCTTCAGTTCACAGTTTAAGAGGTCTCAGCCCGTGGTTGGCTGGCTCTGAGGCAGAGGCATCAGGGCAGAGGGTCTGGTGGAGAAAAGCTTCACTCAAGGCAGAGGGAAGCAGAAGGCAAGGGAAGAGCCCTGAGCAGAAGGAGCCGCAGACCAGAGATGGCCTCCAAGATCTTGCCTCATGACCTGCTCAGAGACAACCAGCCGTGAGCTTCCCTAATCTCTTAGCTCTCTCTCATGCTGATCAACCTTTACCCTCACAGGAGGTCATCTAGAGGCATTAATGCTTTTCTTGCATGAGTGAGTTGTCCATTTCACAGGTCTGGGTTGGCTGTCTTGAGAGGAGAAGGAAAGCCTGGTGACCCTGTCCTCTCTTCTGTACATGGGATTCTCCTCCACACATGCCTGCTTCCTCCCACTTTCCGGCCATCAGGCTAACACCCGGAAGTGAACCTGTGCCAGGGCAATGATTTTGGACTTCAGTACAGTGCGATAGAGTAAAACTCTTTCTTTCTACATTGGGCAACCTTCCGTATTTTGTGTTATAGAGAGAGAAAATACACTAAGACGTACATATAGGAGTGGAAT